CTTTAGTGAAACTTTACTATGTACCAAATATACTCTTGCTTAATTAATTGATTTACGTAGTACTATGCCAACAGATGACACACATTTTAGTAGTAGAGCTCCTTGTGAAAGAGTTGGTCCAGGGAAGTACTGCAACATTACCTATTTCTGCCGACGTTTTGAAGGTTAAGGATGCTGGTGAAATTACGGGCACATGGTACTTGCCAACTTATTTCTCAGGGTGATTGGTGCAATGGGAGTGCTCCTCAGATCTTTGGGATTTAAAGCTCTGAGTGGCACTGCAACTGTTATGCGCAGGCGTGTCGCTTTCCGCCAGGCGCACGATTTGTTCGTCCTGTCACTTGGTACAATAAAAAAATGCTATGTTCTTATTAAAAGTTGTATGTGACTCGTAAGGTGACAGTTGCACTCAATCTTGGGAATTGTGATAAAGTTAGCGAATCGTACAGAGAAAGTCAGGTAAATGAACGTCGTCGCCCCAAATTACGTACCTTAAAATTGTTTTAAAAGGAACATTGCTGCATTTCATACTTAATAAATACAAATGAAGTTAACTTCTTTAATAAAATTGTGTTTTCCTGTGATTAGATAACTGTTATTCACTTGAGTTACCAGCTTTTTCTGCTAACATAACTTACCCATTGTACTGTAATTGTGATTAACTGTTTGCGTATAGATATGTATTAATAAATCACCGGATTGACCACAAGTACGTAAGTCAAAACACGGGTTCATTGCAGCTCCATACAAAGACTTGCGCACGTGCATTCGTTTAATGTTCACTTCCCGTACATAAAGCGACGGTTTTGTTTGGAAACAAATTTAGCTCATAACAACTACCCCATTTGGATATCAAATGAATTAGAAGATTCTGTTATATATCACGATGTAGTTTTACGCTGTGATTGATTTATATAGTTATTGACGCTATTTCCGTTCATTTCTCTCTCTTAGCTAGGGAGATGGCGACAATGACTCAGAGCCGGGAGTCATCGCAGAATCTCGTCGCGTCTCGCGTCGCCGTCTGCAAGGGATTGCAATTATACTGAGAGCAGTATTTTTTCAGACTTTATAACACAGCGATGAACTGCCGCGGTGCCGTCTAGAGTTTTTTTTGTCCTACTCTACATCGTGGATTACTCTATTGTCGTGTTTTGTTTTATTCGTCCTTCGTTTTATTTATGGTTACAGAAAGAGAAAGATTGTTGTTGTTGTAAATAAATATCGAATTTTGTTTCATTTTCATTGGATAAAGAACACTTCTTCGGGTGTTATTATTATTTATTGTTTCTTAAAAATATATTTCTTTGTAGTTTGTAGTGTGTTTGTAAGCACTCAGAAATTTGTAATTCGAAGTGAGAGTGAGTTACAATAATTCATACGATACGTTGTGTCGAGTTGTCCTAAATGAATTGGTACTGTATTTTGTTTGTTGCTTTCGAGTTTTCAGACGGAATATCGCCGAGTCGTGGGACAATATGCCATTGTAGCACGCGAAGTCAATCAAACGTGTAATGACTGCCTCTATATAATAATCTCTAATGTAATGACACTGAGAAGTATACTATCGCCCTACCCACGGACAAGGGAGTGTCCGGATACACTGGAAAGTAGAATCTTTTATAGAAATAATAATGTTTCACATGAGGCTGAGAATCTGCATGGAAACTTTGTTTATAATTGTTTTAAGTAAATACATAATTGTGCGCTCAACATTATTTACCAGATATACAAAATACCATTGTCTCACGAACAATACTTAAATTAGAACTAAATTGTGTGTCATCTACATAGAAATACGAGTCATCGTTCGATCATGCCTGCCTACCTATTTTATGATTTTGCTTCAACCAACGTTAAAGTAAGCAGGGTTAGTGCTAATGATAAATAAAATGAAAATGAATTGAACAGCTAAAACACATTGAGCGTGAAGGCTAATTCAACGCAGATTTTACTCGGTTTCCTCTAACTCGCAGTTCATTTACTCGTTAGGTGCATGTTGTTTACGCCGTGTTTACGTTGTCAGTGTTGATTGAATCAATGAACTGTGATCCTGGAGCGAAACAGAATTTTGCACCTTACTGGACTAGTCTTTAATGAAATTCGTTATGTTGAGAAATATAAAAAAAAGGTTGAGTGTTAGCAAGATAAAAAAGAGAATTGTATCTGGTTATCAATGTCAGTATGTAAGTTTATCTCGTAAGCTATCTATATTATTTACAGGGTGCCCCAAAAATATCACGTCCGAGCGACACTGCGAGTAGCTGAGCTCTATGCGTATCAGAAAAAAATTAATGGCCTTAGTAAAAGTCTTTTAGTTTTCGAGATATTGGCACTTTTTAATTTTTATAGAAAAACTACTTTCTACCCTATCCCACCCAGCCGATTGCGCCCGATACCGCCGTAAGAGAGAGAGAGATAGTAAATAAGGGTCATACATCTCACTTATTTTTTACTACCGGGGTTCCTAGTGACAGAGTAGTTTGTCAATAAAGCTCAATAATTTAACACAATTTTGTTTAGAGACCAATTCGGCTAGTAGGGTGTTGATGACGAAAAAAAATTAAATGACTAAGCTCTAACATTCCTGATTCTGCATTAAGTGGAGCAATTTTTAAGATCATTTGCAAATTCAGTTTCTTACAATTTCTATACACACTAGCTATTCAAAGTTAATGTTTCACTTTTGAAAAGGGTATGAGGTATACAAAATGAATAACTTTTCAAATTTTATGATATTTCTCAGTAAAATATTAGTGGCAGTACCTGGAAAAATTATTCAGGTACCAGAAAAGTAAAAATACCATCTGCAGCTAACCCTGGAAATAATAATATAAAACCCAAGAAAAAGTATGGTTTTTCCAAAAAAATAAAATAAGTGCCAATATCTCGAAAACTAAAAGACTTACTAAGATAGAATTATGATTTTCTGGTAGGTATAGACCTCTAAGTGAGCAGTGTCGCCCTGACGTGGTATTTTGGGACAACCTGTATAATAGTGTTCTGAACTATTATCTCTTAACTCCTTTTTATTTTCGCTGCAGTATATTATACTGGACGCATTTGTTCTTATTTCTGTCAGCCAATAGAAAAGATTGTTTATACGTGTTTCTTCGGCAAACAAACAAATTCCTTTTCGTTGACAAGGCTATTTGAATATTTACGTCCACACAATGCCCGTGGTCCGATAAACATTGCCGGCCGCGTCTGGTGGGCTCTGTTGTTCATCAATAAAACAGTGTTCAGTTAGCTGTCGGTTCTCTTCTAGTATTTACTACTTTCTTTTTCTTAGATTTTCGTAGTATTAAAGTTTTCGGCTACCACGCCTAAGGCATATTTTGTTCGCGTAAAATTTTTCATTCAGATTATAGAAGATTATTTCTATAGATTTTGTGCTATGAAATGTTTCGCAGTGTAGTTAATTGAAATGCGGAAATGTAGTAAATGTGTTATGCGCACTCTGTCGGTATTGCACTTGTTAAGTGATTGTGATTGTCAGTTAGACCAGAACTCAATATATTTGTGTTCTTGGATTGTTAAGAAGAAAATGGTAATTTATTATCTTTTCACCGCCTACATCCGATAACTTTTTCGTACAACTTAAGTCATCAGATTAGTAAACCATGACAAGTTGTATCCGTACCTATTGTCATGATTATGTGCTGGTGTATCACCGACAGGTTAGTGATATTATTAGACTTTAGCGTCGCAGTCGTCGCCACAAACGTGTGCGGTCGACGCACTTTGTAAAACTGCATAGTTAACGTAAGTGAATAGACTCTTGTCGTAGCGTGTAGATACTTTGATGTTTCATGCTGTTTTGAATCCAACTGTCATTCTACTTTTCAACTAAATTATGACTTGATCATTGAATCAGTAGTGCGTTCATGTCAATTGTCTTTATGGCCTACTTGACATTTAAATGGGCTGGAGAAATCTCGTCAGGAAGTAAACATTAGGGACGTTACGTCTGTTGTATTCGCTTTTAGACTGGGAATTTTCTTTGAACGAATATGAACTTACTCGTGGTAACGATAGGTGCTATGGCTTACCAGAGTTAGCAATTGTCTACATCGTAGCTCGTTATTAGTGAGGCAGTCTGCATAGCGAGATGTAATTCAGGTTTGCAATAATGACGGGCGGGTTCCGCGTGACTCACCCCGCTTTCGTTCTTCGCACCTACGTACATGTAATTGTACAGTTCGATGTTATTGGCAAGTCTACAACAGGTACTTCGTTTCGCTTTTACGCGGCCTGTCTGTAAGCCGTATTAATACATGGAAATGAAATTAAGTAAAGTGAAATTTTGACAAAAAAAGCCTTAGAACCGGTCCCAAAGTATTTATAATATAATTATAATATAATAACGCACACACTCAACATAGCCCCGCCCTAGGGAAACCCTGAGTCGCGGGTGCCATGGACACACACATAGACAACCACAAATTACATCCAAACTCCCGAGAGAAATAAATGTAGGTCATACAAATATTTCTCCTGGCCCGGGAATCGAACCTGGGACCTCTGCGTGCCAGTCCGGCATGGTAACCGTTCGGCCACTGAGAAGAAAGTGTAACTGAATTGATATTTTCATGTTGAAAGAGCAATTTATTTGATTTTGATCTTAATGAGTGATAATAAATCGATTTGAATTTACAATACGTTTACGTAGGAATTGTTTTCGCTAGACGGAAATATTACCTTCATACCGGTGAGTCATCTGAGTCTAGAGTCGGACAGACCGGCCTGTACTTGCGAGTTTAATGCTTCGATAAATGCCTTTAATAAACTTACGATCGAATATCAACCACCATGGCATGCTCTCAGTACTTTTATGTCTTTTCGCTACGGGAGCCTTGTTAGTCTCACTTTGCAACTTGAGATTAAAAAAGTACATTGAAAGTCGATTTACGGTTAAAATAAAAGAACCACAGCACCTGTACATTATGAACCGTGATTAGAAAGGACGTAACTTGAACTAGGTTTCTCCAAATTTTCAGTTACAAAGTAAACGCGAGCTGTTCTTCAAGTCCGAAACTGTGAGCAGCGGCGGGGTGAGCACAACGGGCCCGCCGAGCGCGGCGCCGCCGGCGCCGCCACTCGCTCCCTCGGCGCTCAAGGACGCGCTCGCCAAACGCTCGGCCACCCTTCCCGAGCCGCACGAGAGCAACCATCACGAGCCCAACGGTACCGCCGCCACAGCCAAACTCACCAACAGCGCCTCTATTGATGTCGCTAAGACGAATAACGCCGTGCCACCCGCTACCCCCGCGCCCCCCGTACCCAACTCTGCCCCGCCGGCCGCACCACCGCTCCTCAGGAGTACAGACAACATTAAGGTAAGATCGTGTGCACTGCTGTGGGCAATATTACCTTTGTGCGAAACTTCGATAAACTATTCTTCACAAGCGTTTACCCCCAATAAGTTATTGTTATAAAGATCAATGACGTACGAAGTATTGAAGGGTATGTGATATTATAATACTGTTACGACTTGTAACAATACCTGAATAACAAACGCAATAGTGTAATGTTTCCACTATTCCTGTATTAGTAGTTAGCGCTCCATTCTCGCCTTCTTCTATTTTAATTTCTGCTTCTTCAATTATTTATTTTGTACTGTACACGTGTACTCTACGTTTGGTTACTTAACCACATGTTTTCCAATTTTACAGAAACCTGACCACCCACCAGTTGCGCCAAAACCAGAATTACCTAAGCTAGAGAAGCCAAAGACCAAAGAATTAGACGGATATGTCGGATTTGCAAATCTCCCAAATCAGGTCTACAGAAAGGCCGTGAAAAAAGGATTCGAATTCACATTAATGGTTGTAGGTAAGGCGAAGTTAAAAACTATTTTGATCTTTTATGTACTAACAAATAAATATTTTTTAGTCTACATAGTTTCGTATTAGGTACGTGGGAAAAAACACTAACTCTGTAGATAGCATCATTAGTGCAAAGAAGTTTCTAAAAGTTTCTCAATTAGGATAAAAATGGTTCAGGTAGATGACTCACTGTTTAATGTTTATTGTTGCACTCCATGCTCATGCGATGCGGCCCAGATTCTTTCGACGCATGTGGATAACATGGGTGATTAACTTGACTCCGAGGTATTTTTTAGGAATTGTCGGTTTCGTGTTTAATTCCACATTAAAACTTTCATTTGCAACGGTCGTATAAGGGTGTAGTCACACGAATTGCATTTTGGTTGCATCGCACGATTGCTCATCTATACGCATACTTGACTAGCAGCACGCCAATTGTTTGCAGTCGGTAGTTGTGATACAGTTGCGTTGCAATTGCTTCCAAACTGCTTACCGACTGCCTTATGTCTACTATTTTGCAGTTGTCAGGCAGTCGAACTGCAGCTCGTGTAACCACACTCTTAAGTAAGTTGTTGGGTGCCTTGACTGTAATTGGGTGTCTTAATTATAACGTCGTCATTAGTCTACGTGCGTCACACAACTACGGATTTAGACGCTCAAGCAGTAATTTGTAAAAGGTAAACGAGTATTAGGAACGCATGACTAGAATATGATAAACAGTTATCACTACCTATGCAGTATCTAGTTCTTAAGATTTTGCGATTATTACACATCTGGTAATGAAACTATTTTTCGAGTCTAAATCGCGTATATTTGTTTTATCAGTAGATCGGAAAAATAGTTTCATTTCTTATTTCCATTGCCGTCTTTAAAGTTGGAAGTATAGTTAAACATCTTGCTTATTTACTTGTCTGTATTGTTTTAGGTGAGACCGGGTTGGGCAAGTCAACGTTAATAAATTCGTTGTTCCTGACGGATGTATATGACAAGGATAAGCACCCGGGGCCGTCACTGCGGGTTAAAAAGACAGTAGGTGTCGAGACCAGCGTGGTGCTGCTCAAGGAGAACGGCGTCAACCTCACGCTCACTATCGTCGACACACCCGGTTTCGGAGACGCCGTCGACAACAGTAACTGGTAAACAATACATCAGATATGTAATGGCCAAGGAAATATCAATGCTGGAACCTGCATGTCCGAGAAGTTTTATAAAAATTTTTGAAGCGTATGAAGTTCCCCACCTGCATCGGACCAGCGTGGTGGACAATAGTTATATTTTCAATAGTTATTTATAGTTAGTATTTCTCCTAAGAGGAACCCCATGCCTTGCAGTACTATGTGTATGAATTGATAATACGTATGTACTCACGCACTGATCACCAGATTGTTCATTTGTGAGTCACAAGTTAGATAAGATAGTGTCCGTGCTCTTTTTGTGTTGTTTTACTTTGAGGATAAGCCTATTGTTTTCGTTTCTTTTTTTTATAATGCTGTAACTGTTATTTAACAAATTTCTGACGTTGCAGCTGGCAACCAATAATCGACTTCGTTGAATCGAAGTATGAAGAGTACCTGAACGCGGAATCGCGTGTCACGCGCAAGGCGGCGCTGCAGGACACACGCGTACACTGCTGCCTCTATTTCATCGCGCCTAGCGGCCATGGGCTGAAACCCCTCGACGTCGAGTTCATGCAGCGACTCGGAGACAAGGTCAACATCATACCAGTAATCGCCAAGGCAGATACGATGACGCCCGAAGAATGCAAAGACTTCAAAGAACAGGTGAGCATAAACATGTTGCAGCATATGAAAATATCATTAATATATATTTCAATATGGAAAAGAAGACGCTAAATGACGTTTGAATTTTACCGAATGAAATCTTATCTTAACTAAGTCGTCCTCAAACTGCAGTTAATCGATACTACACGGATTTCAGATAATGAAAGAAATAACACAACACAAGATAAAGATCTACGATTTCCCTGAGAGCACGGGCGAAGAAGGCGACGGCGCAGAGGCGACGCGGGTGTTGCGCCGGCGCGTGCCTTTCGCGGTGGTGGGGGCTAACACTATAATCGAACAGGACGGACGGCGGATTCGTGGTCGCAAGTACCCTTGGGGAATCGCAGAAGGCAAGTATTTTAAAAATTTTTATTTATATTAATTTAGGGTTCTGTTGAGACTTCCTCGCTTTTGCAACGCCTCTGGCATGTTTGTGAATGCGTGTGTAGATGATTTTTACGCAATAAAAGTGCGTCACAGAAGTTGCGATTGCGCGGGAAACCAATGGTATCCTGAGGATGATAACAGGAAGAATGGACCCTGCTGTCCTCCATAGGTTTACCGTGTTACACGTAGACATATAATAATATATTTATAATAATGTAATTTAATTTAAAGTATTGTGATTATTACTAACAAATATGGACTAATTGGTCTGAGTAAATGAATTTGAATTTAATATTTAATTGATGTTTTGTACACGAAAATAGCATCCAAATACAAAATAATAAGTACATAACTCTAGTATCATTTAAAGTAATATCGTAGAATAAAAAAAATGTGCTGATAGTCCCAAATAATCTTATATTGTTACTTTTCTGTTTCCTCGTTTGTATTGTAGGTTAATAAGCTTAGACTTATGGTTTCACTATATATTCAAAATGAAGAAAAACAGTAGCTAAATCCTGAATTTTATATATTTGTTAAATCAACACCCTATTACAAACAAAATTTACATATTACAAGTCTGTGCTAAAGCTAATTGAATTTAGCAATGTTGAATACAATTACTACACTGAATTACTCAATGCCCACTTATTCGACGAAACAATAACTTTCTTCGCATACTAGGTCGTGGACACCGATATTTTCCACTTTCCCTATTTATTTATAACGACTCGACTGCTACCGCGTTTTAATAAGGCTGCGACGGTGGTATGTGGATATAATAATGTCAATCATGTTCTATTGACTTAACTTTGTTTCATATACGATGGGTTATTCTGTCCAAAAATATTTTACGATTTGTGCATGCCCAAACAAGACAGTTTTGCTTTATAAAAAACAGACGTTTATTTATTATCAAGTACACGTTCACTATTTCTAATTTGCATTTTTTTCCATTGTTTCATTTTTAATAATATTTGGTATACAGGGCGGTCGAGATGGGACGTCAAAAAAAAAAAATTAGGTGGCTCGTATTGAGGGGTATCCGAATCACCTCCATGTTTGTTCCGCGATTTTTCGTAGTTTTCGAGTTATGATTTTTTTAACCAGATCGGCTCTAAATTTTTTTTCTTCAATTTGTACAAGATTTTTTCAAGACTTTTTTATAACTCAATCTTTGTGAATTGTACTTTAACGCACAAAATTATTGGCTTCGTAACATCAAATTCGCAATCGAGCGGGTCACTTGAACAGTCGAATACGATGTTATTATTATATTCAAATTTCGAACATCTCTGAAAAACGGAACAATTTGATTTGACCTCAATTCTATTATCAGTCGAGATGAAGTTTTATTCGAAATGAAATGTCAATAGTAAACAATTTTGACCAATTACACACGTTACTTGATATCGAATGATAATTGGGGCCGACTCTAGATTGTCTATGAATTAAATGAAAACTACGGCTGTCTGACTTGCGCGAGAAAAGTTTTTATTTGCCGCCATTTCGCCAGTCATGACATGCGCTTCCTGAAAACATCATAGAGAGCTTATAATATGTGTATAGATCTTAGAGGATGGAAAAAAATAAAAGAAAGGAGCTGCCCTAAGTACAGAATCAACGTGCATATTACCAAAATTTGAAAGTTACAAATGGCGGATTTCTTTAGTGTTGTACCATAATCTATCGATAAGTCATTATCGACATGCAAATGTATGGCTTGAATTTTTGTTTCTTTAGTTTACTGTAACCAAAGTATGCCTAAACAAACACAAGTCTGATAATTTAATCTCGAGTGGTATATTATTATAAATGTCAACACACATTTTTAAACTTCAAAAAAAATTTATTTTCAACATTACAACTGGTAACTTATTTAGTAAAAGTCACCAAACTGCTGTGCAGTTTGTTGGCGACATGCGCATTCTTGCTTAATTATACCTACTTTACTTGTATTTAACATTACGTAGTATTAATTGTACTTACTAAATAAAATATAAAAATTACTTTAAGAGGTACGCCTTTAACCTACATTTTAGTACATATTTACATAACGTCTTTTAACTAACCGTCAAGTACAAGTCTATTCAGGTTTCTGCGGATTCTAGTATTCCCGTTAATTCCCGGGCTTTCTTAAGCAAATGAATCTATCAAGCAATTTTAACACAGAAATATTGGAAATAGTTGTAAAAATCAATTATCGGAAATCAACAATTATCATGTACTAGCTTTTCCCCACGATAAAATCCCCGCAATAAAGTTGCAAAAAAGAAAGGACAAAAACGAACGTGGTGGATGCTGATTATTCCAGAAACAGAACAACATGACATTTTGTTGATATATAATATATACTTCTTTATTTTGTGTTTTGATTTTTTTTTAATAGAGTTATAAAACCAGTATGCATTTCATATGCGGACGGACTAACGTGTGAACGCTATTGGTCGAGCGCCTTTGGTTTGTGATAAGCCGAATGAACTCTATACACGTTGGCGCTCGCCTTCACTCGGTCAGCTAGGCGAGTGACACCGAACAAGGCAAGGCAAGGCAAATAGGCTGTCTATACGTTGGTATGTTGTCATTGTATTGCAGGCTTTAAAAAAATAGTCATATTTAATAGTTAGAGTTGTCATTGGGAAAAATTTTTCTGTTTTCAGGAACTGAGAATAGCTAGTAAATGAGTCTTGTTTAATCTAAATTGAACATAAAATTATTTACCAATAAACCTAATGATGGAATAGCATTGTCATGTAATCTAGTTACATTTAAAGTTCTGTTAAAATTTGACTCTTCAAAATGAAGCGAACAAATGAAGATGGTCTTTGATCCAACGTTTATATTCCGCAGTCCTATGATTTCCAACCATTCTTTCTTCCTTTTTTCATTTGTAGGAAAACTTGAAATAATAATAATAAAACAATAAAAACCTCATAGTGAATTGTTTTAATAACAGAATATCGATAATATGTATGCTTACAAGATCAACACTATCTCAAAATAATCGTTAACAACAATCATCAAAATATACAAACAAACAGGCAATCTAAAGTAACAAAAGCAAAATTTGGCAAGATTTATAAATAAACTACTTAAATAAGTCTAATTACATAAAATATTCGGGCTATTGTGTGATTTATAGACAAAAAAATAACACATGCCTGTGCAATGTAACATTCGATTGATTTGCAGTTTTTCTAAAGCCGCATCCTTTAATGCTGCAACGTCGCATTTTTATTAATACCTAATTATTCTCACTGTCAATATTTTTGTCCAATTTAATTATAATACATGTGAATAATTCAATAATACATTTGGAAAAACATTTGTTTTGACATTTGATGTACTTCCCTTTGACAACGGTATCATGTACCTCATGTACTTGAAATGGCCACGGTTGGCATTTAAAATGACGTTACGAATTTTCGATTCCCGTGTTTGACACAGACCAATGTAATGCTATCTCTTTTGGCTTAAGACGGCACGTAATAGTTAAACAAAGACAATAATATGTTTATGTTTTCGAAGTCGAAATGCATCATATACATATAACGTCTGATTTATATATGTCAACGTAACATGTCCTTTAGTTTCCATAGTCTAAGGTATAGATAAACCAGTGTATCTAACTACATAATTAGGCATTAAAACACTCGTGTGATGTTTTCATGAAACTCGCCTGTCGGCTAGTTTCATAAACCCGCACTCGTATCTTAATGCCTTTCATTATGTAACAGTCACATAAACTACTATTGTTGTGATATGTTCACACATGTACAATTTATACCCACTTGACAGTACTATAACAGTGCTTATCGTCAGAACTAGGATACTACGCACTACGGATGTGCCAATTCATATATTTTGTTAGTTTATTGATACGTGGGAGTGTTAAACATTACTATTTGTCACCCACGCTTATGCTCGGAATACACGAGGCTATTTTTTAAGGCTAGGACAGCAAGCTAGTGCTAGTAAGCTAGTAACTCTGGCGTCGTATATACAGAACCAGCTTAATTTCTAGGCTAGTAAGCTAGTGAGGAAGATAGTAAGGTAGCGTCTCTAGCTAGGATAGTTTAATGGGATGAGGTTCTATTATTTGCGCTACTAGCTTCCCCCACCACTGATTTTACTATCCTGTCTTGTGTACTAGCTTCGCGTGGTCGGCGAAGATAGTATCCGATCGGATGGTATGCAGTGACGACACATTTTGTTTTCCCGACCGCTGACCACGTGTTTATGTGACAGTTTACATGCCGAAACTGAGTACCGTAATTAATTCAAAATTAATGCAATTGTACCGTAAAGAGGAATTTCTATGTAACGCCATTATTCCGTAGTATAAAGCTAAATCTCTGCATGATTCAGCATTACAAAAAATATATGGCAAATTATAAATAATCGACATAAAAGTCAAGTAATAAATAGCGTTTGTTTTACGAAAGCTCTTCATTATTATGCACAGACGTATTGTTACCACAGTCACAGCAATGATACTGCCTTAAAATTTACTGGCATCATGTAAACTGTTCTAGCATGTGCCAAGCCAGGACAGAGTTACTAGCTTGCTAGTTTACTAGCACTAGCTTGCTGTCGTAGCTTTAAAAACTAGCCTCGTGTATTCCGGGAACTAAGAACTAGATGTGATCGTTAATTGGATCAAACGATAGAATGAAGAGACATTATTTTATTTCAACTGTTCTGGAGTTGACGTCTATGTTGCATGTTTTTTTACTATTAAGAATTTATATCCTATATTTAACTTCATCTCAGTTCATTACTTTATAAAATCCACATAACAAATATAGGTCATACAACTTAAAATGAAATAAATATGAGATGAAAACTCTAACAAATATCAATTTATGTGTGTAATATTTTTAGTAAAATTCTCACTGCCCATATACGTAATAAATATGTGTAAACTGTCTTAGCTAGTGAGTCGATTTCAGGAACATTCGAGAAATAACCCAAAACCTTGTATCTTTCAGTTGAAAATTTAGAGCACTGCGACTTCATTGCGCTGCGTAATATGGTAATCAGGACGCATCTGCAAGACCTCAAAGATGTGACCAGCTCGGTCCACTACGAGAACTACCGCTGCCGCAAGTTGTCAGGCCTCACACACGACGGCAAACCTCACAGGATCAACTCTAACAAGTATGCACTGATTTTTAGTTCACATCACGTTATTTGTTTGTTGTTTTTCTTTATTCTAATTTTCAAAAAATTTTTACGTACGTGACCAGTCCAGTCAGTTTCTATGTACGTCAATTTTTTTTAACAATTTCATTCCTTTAATTGTGTTTTGATCATCGACATTTTTGGATTCATATTAACTTAGGCATGATTAGAATTAACAACCCGAGTAGACGGGGTTGTTCAAATAATTTTTGTACCAATATGTACTAATATTTGATTTAATGTACTGCCGTCACCGCATTCAAGGTGACCAGACTAATAAATCTTCTAATAATATCTAATATAACAAAATGCTATAATAATTTTTCTTAACAATGTATGTATTTCATTGCTGCATGTCTGGTCACCTTCAACTGTGTGCCTTTTTGTCTAACTATCGCAGTTGTGTGCTAAAATTGTTTTAATTTTGTTTTTTATTACGGTAGATCTTTCCGATAGTCGCATACGACATTCCTCGATTACTTGAATGTTCTGTGCTTGGGCATGCAGAAATGGAATACTCATTGTGAACATTTGTCATACTAATGTCTCATGGATTATTTTCAAAATAATTTACATATTACCCATCGGCTTTATCGCTCTCAAAATAAGAGAATTTTAACAATGAATAAGATTTTCAAAATGATCCATGACAATTTCATTGATCATAATAACTTGCAATTCATTTGCCTCGACTGTGGCATTAATAACATTAAAGCACTGAGTGTGTGTTTATTCTGTTTTAAACAATGTTGCACACGTTCTGTCATTGCAGTGTTGATCACAATATTAATAGGTCTACAATATTAATAGAAATTGTTTTTGATTGCATTTCTCACATTCGGTGAGTTCTTCCAATCTTCTAAAATTGAAATCTTCCAAGTTAAATAAAAAATTCGTTGTTTCATTAAAGGATTTAAATAATTACGAAAACAACCTTGCTGCTAAATTAAATAAAAGTAAATTTTATTATTCTATTTCGAAGATGCAACAAATTACTCGACTCGAACAACAGAGTCCGATGTAATTTGATTATACAGCGAAAAGACGATAAATATATAATCTCGTTATTCAAAATAACGCCTATCTATAGGTATTTTCAGAATTTTTATATCTTATTTCATTTCGGAAATATAAAATCGAACAACAATCGATCTGATATCCACAGCTAAGAACAGCGAACGAAATGTACAATGTCCTGATGATAAGCAATCTGCACATAGCTCTTGGTTCTACGGATGGGTCGTAGTGAAAAGTTCTTATTGCGCATAATGGGATTATTTTTATTTATACATAATACTTAGTTATCCACTTATAAACGAGAATATAAATTTATCGGTTCATTCGATTTGAACTTTCAAATCGTGTTTTCTCAATTCCATCACTTTTAGTTACGACTGTATTTGGTTCCATGTGTGGTATTTAATAAAATTTCCAACAAAACGCAATTCTATAGAACGGGCATCCATCATATGTAACATATTATGTAAATGGTCATAAATATCAATTAATTCCTCTTTAATATGAAACAGAAGAAGTCTTTTTTTCCTTGTAATATTATTCAAATATTGGTCATGAGGTAAAATTATTTTCTGAACTTCGACAAATATGCGAGTCGATAGATGGCATTGTGTCTACAAACTAATCAATAAATGAACGCTTCCTAATATGGGTAGATGGCGCTGATCCTAAACAGAAGTTCATGAAACTACAATGGATATTATGAAAAGTTAATAATGCCACCTTCGAGAATATATGGGCGAACACTGTCACGTTTGTACAGTCGACAAGTTTCGTCTTATCTGCTGGGCCGAAGAACGTTCACATTTCATATTATTACTGTTAAGTGGCAGATAAATAAACCATTTATCTGGCACTTTGTAGCCAATAAAACGAACAAGTAAACTTTATTAAAATACCAGTCCAGTCATGGTGTTCGGAGGTCAATTATGTATCTGACGACGTTCGTTAGTCATCCAAACCTCTATGCGCTTTTTAGTTCGTCAATAAATACAAGGTTTGTAAAGTTTTATGAAACGTAAACGATTTTCATCTCTCACTGATGAGACGCAATTAAATTCGATAGTACATTAACTCTGGTTGTGTTGGTGTTCAGTTTGTACCCGCAAGGACTGATGAACAGTTTCATGACCGTGTGGTAAGTCCCGTCGCACGTGACGTCTTCGTTATTCTTTACAAGTTACACGTTTTCGCACGCCCTACACTCTTTCCCCTGTATTCGAAAATATAGTTTGAATATTAAAAACGTCTACTATTGACCCTCTCAAAAAACGTTTTTAAAGCGCGGATTGGCAGTTTCAATTTTCTTTGGAAAAAATTCTGAGGTATTCAATAGCTCTGATAATTGTTTTGAATGCTTTTTAATTTGGTGATTATATAGTTGCTAATGTGCCATAATGTATATAAATATATATAATATATATATATGTATAATATATATATGAATATATATGAATTAAAAAAATAATAATTTGACCAACTTCTGTTTCCCAATTTTTTTCTTCCGATACAATGAAGTCATCCTAATAAGAAACTGAGTTGATCAGCACAAAAAAAGATTTTGTTCATTTGGACAATTCACGCTTGACCAAAAAATTAACTTATGCCAAAATTGTTTTCACAAAAAAAAAAGACTTAATGGTTCCTAAAACAGTTTCCTTGTATGGTTTCGGATTTCTCCACACTGTCCCATTTAAAAAAAACATTTTGTATGTTGTCTCAAGCATTATCCTGCCTATATTTTTAATAATACCGCTCTTGATATCTTTGAAATTTGGTAAATTTTGTTACCTGGGTGCTTTATAGCACATAACACTATAATGCATTGGTTGGCTCTCCTCGCTTATACAATAGTAACAATGAATGAAAACAATGAAGTAATTTTCCCATAATTATTTCAATTCACTTGTCCTTTTTAAGGTGTTGGGTGTACCTTGCTTTTTGTGTTAGCAGTGTTCAGCTTCTAGTTTTCGTATCGTTTCAATAAATTATGAAGTAATTTTGTGTTCCATTTGACTTAACCTCATATTACGCCTTATGTATGAATTAAATTGCGAAAAGTTCTATAGATAGTGTATTTTATTAAGTTGAAGTAAAAGTATAAAAACGTGAGGTTTCTTATGAGAATTTAAGCATTATTATTTTGCATGATTTGTTTAGGCTTTCAGTAGAATTATTAAAATACTCGTTGTTATACCTGCAACTGTTTTGAATAAAGTTTCAATTTTTTGTAGGCGGAGAAAATTATACTTTTCTGTGTACTTTTTTTTAATAAATGTTGTGTACGGTTTAAAATGTATCATTATTATTTTCAGGAATCCTTTGGCTCAGATGGAAGAGGAAAAGAGAGAACACGATCTTAAAATGAAGAACATGGAAAGTGAAATGGAAAAGGTAACGGCCACGATTGGGATTTTCACACATTACAATGCAAATATAAGCGTAGAATAGATGGATCTGAACATAGTTTACTCAGTGTTGATAATAAATTTCAATAGTACCGTTATAGCATACACACTCGGGTCGAGTTGATGTATGTGGGTTATGTTGAATAGTATTAAACAAGTAATTGCGAATCTCGGTGGCCCATCGGTTAACACTGCTGGCGCTAGATGAGCAGGTTGGGTTCGGTTCCCGGTATAACTATTTTGAGAAATGAATTTTCTACATCGATTTCGTTTGAATACTCTGGCTAATGGATGAACAAACACAGGATGAACGTAGTGGTAGCTGATTGTCGCGGGTGATCGGGCTTTTAGGTCGTCACGTCTGACGCCTAAAGGCGGGTACTCATTAGCGAGCTGTAACTGTAACATTTATAGTAACCAGGTCCAAGTGTCTACGCGTGAAACAGTCTTCACTCGCTAAAATGAGTTCCTGTAGGCCTAGCACGATAGGGAGCGACATAAAGCGCGAGATACTGCTATTCTCGCATAGAGATCTCTCTTCTTTTACTTTATGTCGCTCTCGCGCAAGTCGCGTCTTATCGTGCTGGCCATACTGCTTATCGTCGGCTCCCGAACCACGTACACATTATGATTTTTTGTAACACAACATACAACGGTTACAGTCACAGCTCGCTAGTGAGTATCCGGTTTAACTCAATTCGTCTATGGGTGTCAAATCGCACCCCTCATGGAAGAATGACATAAATGAAGTTACGTCAAAAATGTGATGTTTTGTTTGTTACAAAAGGTCTATATGGAGCGATTAACTACCTACGATTGACTAAACGATGCCTCACTTTCTCAAACTCGTATCTTATAAAGACTGATTCAGGAGATGGCAAAACTTCCTATTTATTTTAAATTTCCCATCCATATATAAATTTAAACCGACTTAAAAAAAGAGGAGGTTCTCAATTGGACTGTTTTTTCTTTGTATGTTACGCGGTAGCACACATTTGTGAACCGATTTTGATGATTCTTTTTTTTTTTTTTTGGTGGAAAGAGTACTTTAGTTGCGGCCCATTTAAATGTGAACAAAATATTCCACCTCTTTGAGGTCGTTTTTTTAGTACTCAGTAGTGAGATTATTTGCACTTCAGTAAGTTTGCGCTTCAAGGTATGAGTTTGAGAAAGTAAGGCGACGATTTGTAATCGGTTGCAGGTGTTCGAGATGAAGGTGCGCGAGAAGCGCGCGAAGCTGAAGGAGTCGGAGACGGAGCTGGCGCGGCGGCACGAGGCCACGCGGCGCGCGCTCGAGGCGCAGGCGCGCGAGCTGGAGGAGCGGCAGCGCGCCCTCGACGCCGAGCGCACCGCCTGGGAGCGCGACACCGGCCTCTCGCTCGACGACCTGCGCCGCCGCTCGCTCGAGGCCAACAGCAAAGAGTCAGTACCAGCGCCGCACTCGCACTATAGCAACACGAGTAGGGCAACTCCCGCCTGGTCGGCGCACGGTGCCTTAAGCCACACATTACTTAATATTTACCACGTAAGGCTCAATTTACATTGCGACGAAACGGAGTGATACGGAAGCGTCAATTTCGCCTCGCTGCGCGAGAAGCCGCGCGTATTGAGACTGTGGTATTCGTCGACGTTTGACGTCACACTGCGCCTGCCTTCGCGCCACTTCTCAATCATGAGCATGCGCGAGAATTCGTGACATGATTTTTGGCTCGTATCTGCTTTGTACGTTACGCAATTGACCTTAAAGTTCATTACGCTATGTACAACATCGTTACAAACATTCGCTTCCATTCCGTTCCGCCGCAATATAAATTGAGCCTAACAGATACATCACTCTCATACATACATAATTGCCCCTGTGGCCGAACGGTTACCATGCCACGCAGAGGTCCCAGGTTCGATTCCCGGGCGGAATATGGCATGAAATATTTGTGTGGCCTACATTTATTTCTCTCGTGAGTTAGGATGTAATTTGTGAGTTTCTATGTGTGTGGGACACAGGGTTTCCATAGTGCGGGGCTAAGTTTAGTGTGAGATAAAAAAGAACGCCTTGAAGAAGCGCCATTAGCCACAGATTACTTAATAGTTACTACGTAACAGATACATCACTCTCATACAAAATCGAAAATACCTACGCTATAGATAGCCTACTAAATCTGACTAATGACTAGTAATGACACCAGGCGCTCACTACGAAGAAAAAGAAACCTAAGTATGCGCTCAGATAGGTGAAAATAACGTTGCCCGTTGTGTGCAGTAGTGCGAAGCCGAATGCTCATAAATGAAATATTTGTATGAGCGCTTGCATTGACGTCGGCGTACTCAGTGGTAGGCACTTATCGCGTAACTGAGCGAGGGACGGTGCCCTGCTTAAGCCTCGATTACTATCAGAGCCGTAGTCGCCAAAACTCACACATTCATAATTCGACACTATAAATTCTTGATAATGATTGGTCATAGTTTCAATTTTAGAAAAAATAACAAATTCTGGACTGTTAATATAATTGAAACTTTACCCTGCTGGCATATCATATGAAACACTACCATGGATATTATTACAACTGCGACTATAATTTTTGCACTCCAAAGTAACAAAATAAGGCATTTTTTTTAGCGATTTTCGAGTTTTTGCGAGTGTTAATTGACACGATTACAACGTACAAAACGAAAATGGCGGAATGTGCTCAAGTTTGCAGAGCTCCGCGAACTGTTGACACATGTGTCACGCAAACTATAACTTCTACTGTTTTCATTGTTCATTCATTATTGTTCTGTGGTTCGGTGCGTTAATGCCTACTTTTCGTTCGGAACGTATTAACGCAAGTAAAATAATAACGTCGTCACATTATTATTTTAGTTGAACCTACAGGTTTTAAACATGCTTTGAAAAAATTAAGGAATCCGTCAGTGTTCTCGTGCTATATTGAAGTAAACTTCTTTTAAATGCAATATTTACGTATTAATATTTTTATACCATTATCGCGGATTGGTATCTCGATTGTGGGAGTATGATTATGAAATCAAAATGGAATGCTATAAATAAACATTATTATACCATGCTTCAGGCCCAAAGAAATATGGCCTCAGCTTCGTATGAAAAACGCAAACTTGATTTTTTAAAGTATTTTTCTAGATACCCTATGGTCGTATAGAATGTATAGCGCTAAATTTGAATTATATTCTCATTTAAGTGTACACTGAGTGTTTACGTGTTCATACGAATAATATTGTCGGGGTCTGAATCATTTCACATATTATGTATTATGGTCTTAGAGTTTGAAACCTATTCGCTCACAATTTTATATCACGGCATTCTCGCCCGTGATGCCGGCGTAGTATCTTTAAACCACACATTGACATCCCGTCTGCCCATTGGTGCCTAGCCTCTGATGGATGGCGATTCTGGCCATTTCTGGAAGAGGTCCGTGTACGGCGATGGGCTAAAAAGTTTTGATCTTGGTGAATATGGTGTAAAGTATTCGTCTAACACGATTCAGATAAATATGCTATACGTTCGTGTAATTTTTTTTAAATTGTTCTCACTTTTCAGGACGGTAGACGGCAAAGACAAGAAGGACAAGAAAAAGAAAGGTTTGTTCTAAACTTGCGATGTGTCGTGTAGGCCTCGCACCCACCGTACTTGACGCGTGACTAACCCGCCCGACGACGCCCGCCGCACTGCGCCCCCGCCCGATTGGTTTTCATCTCATTCTCAATGTAGCCCTTTAATCAATAAACCAGCGTTCTCGCAGTGCGGCCGTCTACGATTTGCTGGCGAACTTCTCATAGAAGTTAACCGAGCATCAGTGTTACTTCGATGTAAATTTCGAGTTTTTATTTTATTGACTTGTTCAGTACATTTTTCATGCAAAAGAATTTAATAATTTTAATCGATTTTGGAAGACTAGCGCATACACCCTGTGAGTTCTTAGAACTGTACATATCGTAACATTCGAAATTTATTGAGGAGCATGGGCTCTGCATTGTATTTTTTGTCATTGTATAACTGGCATGAATTTTGAGATTTTTCCGAGAGAATTATTATTGTTTTAATTATTTTGATTACCAAAATCTGGGGAATAGTGCCATTTTCGATGTTGTGACGAGTTTCGCTTCGCTACTGTCTACTACATTTGCGAGTTATTTGATCCGATTTTTTAATGTCTTTACTTGTTTCATCTTTCGTCAAGCTTATTCTCGCTTGGAATGTTTGTCATGATATTTAGTTTCTTAAATAAAACTAACAATTGTATAATAGTGGTACACAATTAAATTTCTTGTGTTTTATACTAATAGAAGATATGAACATACGTATTAATTTTTGTATGCTATATTTATTATGTTGTACATAAACGAAATATACGTAGCACATAGATTTTGTCAAGTCGGACATAACTTTTAATTATTTTAACTTTAATAATACAAAATTCTTAAATTTATTGTTTTTTGTTGGCAATGCAATAAGATAGTTTTGTGGTTTTCAGATTGGTCTTTTAAGAGTGTTGCATCCGGGATAGTACTCTAATTAGGCTATGGCTTCGCACTTATTGCGTGTGCTATAGGTGTATGTCGTAGCATAATGAAACAACGATTTTTGAAGACTACCTTATGTAATACTATAGCATTGTATCTTTTCATAAATGACGCGTTGTGGCCTTCGATTCGAAACAAAACTGGGCGTAATGAGATTAATTTTATACATAATATTTATTTATTTAGAAGATTTTTTCCATGACAAAGCATTTATTATTGTAAGTGGGGCCTAGTTTTCTACTGCTTCTGTTTCTAAATGCTTTTTTGTAAACTTTTTATACGATCACTTTATTTTGGAGTCTATGAATTAAAATTTCAAGCTTCTATACTGTGGAGAAGCACAAAGGTTTATTTATACCGCTTATGAGTCGACATTTTCGTCCACAAAGATGCCAAATAGGTTGTAATAACTGTCTGCTATAATGAATGTCTACACTTTATTGTATTTACGATTAAATATTCTATGCTGAGGTCTAATAGTGTACTAGGAACAGCGACGTGATTTATTCAGCTCAAAGTCAGTGTGAAATTAAACATAGGCACTAAAGCAGTACTAATAAATATAGCATAAGGGTCTTTACGAACGCTAGTATCGATTGTGTGCGAATTGTATTTTTCATTATATTTACGAGAAATATTACGTAGTTATTTGACAAGTTTGTATTAGTGACTACACCATTCTAAATTTTAAATAAATAACATAAAAATGTATTTTTTACTTCGATATTACAAATTACGATTTCGGCTTTATCGGTGCATTATAATACCTAGTTATGATGGTGTGAATTGGCACTGCATTTGTTATGTACGTCGGTATATTATGCTTAGTGAAATCGAATATGCTCATAGTCAGTTGTGAGATAGACTCTAGCTTTAGCTAGGTGTAGATTTTCTTAATAATAATGTTTAATGGGAGGAAGTATCTGCAGGTCACGGAGCACGGAACTAACTGACTAGAGTGAGAGCGTGATTTAAGCGAATTTGAAAAAGAGACAATTTTCTTTGTCATAACATTTTGTACCTTATCAGCTTGTGCGTTGGATTTACTATGATGACTCAGAATGACTTTTGTTTACATGAAACTCAAGACAATTATATAGTTTCCATTCTCCATCGGCTCTGGTCGCTTAGTGCAGTGCGTTTTACAACTATACACACACACACACACGCGCGGTTTGGCGATATTCAATATTATATGTATTTTAAAATATTCTTTAGTCGAATATTACAATGTTTATCAAGGTTTGAATTAAAATCTTCGGCAATTCTTAGGTTTTAGTGATTCTAACATTATTCACTATACCGTATTTTATTCATACTAGTAATGCTTGACATTTCTATCTGTTTTCTGTAAATATTTTCATTTAGTCGTTACGATTTTCATTATAAACTTATATATCAAAGTTATCAAGGAAATGATGCGTAACTGACATGCATAATTTTTCATTTAATCAGCATGCCATGGTTAAATTTTGTATTATTTACTACACTCAGTATTGACTTCCGCATTAAAGTTAGGAACTTAGATAATAAGACTATGCTTAATTTTGTATTTTGTGTAGGGCTACGGCTCATTTTACCATACTGATCATTTGCTTAGTCGCTACGATGGATATGTGTGTTGGGAGAGCAGTGGAGTTCAGACGATGTAATATATTGTATCTTTGACTAAATATAAATAAATACGTAATATATAGGATTTATTTGTTTCTTTTCTTACTACACATGAGTGTTTTTTTGGTGCGGGTGTTAACACATCTGAAGGGGCTGCAGTTGCTACTGATTTTATCTATTTAAAAAAAATCGTGAAAAATAGAGATCCTTAACCAATCTACATGAAAACGTTATTTAAATGTAAATTTTAAATGATTTTATTTATTTTATCTTTAATTCAGACAACGGTCCATAAATTCCCTTCGGTAAAATTGGTCTACTTTCCCGATCGGTCCACATCCACTATTTGTCTAGTTTCCCGATTGGTTCACTTTTTTCCCGTTTCGTCTCTTTCCCATTTCGTCTACTTTCCTGTTTGGTTTACTTTCCCATTTTGTCTACTTTCCCGATAGGTCTACTTTAAATATGCGTCTACTCAGATAATCTCAGTACTAGTACAAAAAAAACCGACTTCAAAAGTTCGTGGAATTGCATCTGTTTGCCAAGTTTTATTGAAATCGGTTACCGGAAATAAAAAATCAACCTGAATAAAATCAATCCGTCTAGCTTGATTATACTGGAATGTTATCAAAGGTAAGAACGATGAGCTACTTTTTTGACCTGCAGTCAGTTTCTAGAAGTAAATAATTCCAACGTGCCATAATACCTGCAGGTAATGTCACGGCGCGTGTACTTGTAGAAATATTATTTGCACCGATTCGTATTATCGCTTCATTTCTAGAATACAATAGGATACAGGAGTGAGTCGTCTCGGTAAAGTACATGCCATCTGTATAGTGCAAACAACTAGTTTAAGCACTTACGCACTTAATTCTGACCTGGGTAATCTTTTTACGGAACGAACTTTGTTCAATTAGTAACAAAAAGTTGGCAATCGGTATTTTACGAAGTACCTAGTAGTTAAAAAAAGATCTCATGAGTAACTAAATAATTCAAAACTAGAATTCAGAAAAATGAAGAAAAAAGGGTTGATGGCATCATTACATTAGATGGTGTCATTACCCTATTGTAATAGAAAGTCTGTGAAAGTGTAACGGATAAGCCGTTCCAAGAGATAACATTCATCGGCGCAAATAATATTTCTTCAACTAAACATGCGCATTGATCAATAGCCCCCTTTATACAGTCACAGGTGCGGGAAAGCCTGCACGCGCCATCGTGCGCGATTACCTGTTTGAATTTTTTTAAGCTAACGTTCGTTCGCGCGCGATTGCTCGTGTTCGTTTTTGGTACAAAGGAAAGAGCGTCCGTGTAAATGCTAATAGCGCAGGATGGCCTACGTGAAACTGGCGCCTTTGACAGATGAGCGCAATCGTGCGGTCTTTCCCTTTTCCTTCCAACGTCTTTACACGCGCGCTCAATCGCACACGATTGCTGTATCACGCGCGATTGAGGGTATGTGTAAAGCCCGCTATTGCGTAGGCTGATGGGGATATTTTTATTTATGTGGGTGAGGGTGATGATATTACCAACGACCCTGCTATACATCATTTGAATCGGTTTAACAATAAAAAACTTGATTCTTTTTGTATGAAGTCATTTTATTGGTGACTTACTTAGATCACATACACATTCGTCGACCACATCAAAACACAATTCATAAATTTACGAACAACCTCAAAATATTCTGTTATGTAAACAACATTTCTACATCTAGTTATTATAATCTTTGGCAGCACTATGGAAAATATACTTCTAATTATTTTAATGAAAATGCAACTTCAAATATTTTTATAACAATCACAACAGTTTCTCGACTATACAATCTTTATTTATAGGTATACTTATTAAAGACAATAAAATTGATTTAAAATATCCAACGGTACGTGATTCAACTAAGAATCGTTCTTTAAAATTAATGTTCTATCAAAATTAATTTTATTTACAATTATTTTTATCGGGGTTTTACTCCTTCAGGGTTACTTTCATTTACAAGTTATATATACGAGAACAATAAAAATATAGTTATCAGCATGTTTGTCATTAGGCTAATTAACAACTACTTTAGTTGGTTCTTATAAAGTAAGATCTTCCAACAAAGCGACAATAATCTATTCCCGCGTACAAATATATTGTAATATAGGAGTTAACTGCGAAGATTCAGTAAAGCTAGCAATGTAAAATAGCGCTACTAGAGTACAAGATCAGTGTTTTAAATTGTTGTTAATATGCTTGAAGTCAGATGGTAGATATTTCGGTTATTCCACAAATTTATAACAAGAAAGTACCATTGGTGGGTTCGGAGACTTTTTTCAAAAAGCTAGTAGGTAAGCGTGCTGGTGTAATAATTTCCTTTATTTTTTTTCCATCCTCAAAGAATTATAGACACATGAGAAATAGTTAAATAATGTTGCGCCATGCACTGACTCGACTTTGATATCGATTAACATATTTCACACATTAAAACCTATGATTTTTTTTACAATATACGAAATTTGTTTCTTTGTCAACTGACACTAGGTTCATACAGGCTCATAGCGTCTAATGAAGTGGTTTCGTCTACCTGTCTCGGTCTAACATACGCGTATACTAACGCTCTTTCACTTGCATTGCCAATCTTTGGGTACCTATATAGTAAATCTATGCTCAGATCTTTGCGAAGCTCTGAGTGCCACAGCGACTACTTAGGACAGGCGTGTGGCCTAATCTTCGTGATAGTAGACATTTCGCCGAAGGGAGTTATATATCGGCGATTCTGCAGTCGGTATCGGGTCATTGTCACACGTCGCCGACAAGTGCAATTCGACTCAATTCGTGTAGATAGTCCCATCTATTTGGTTGTGTAGATACTCTATAGATAGTCCTTAAGATATATATTATATAGATAATAATTGCTTGATGTAAATGAATAAATAAATAAAAATTAATACCAGGCGTACGACTTGTCCGTCCAGTCACAGTATCATCAAAAGAAACTCCCCACTGCGTAGAAAATTCTATGAAGTTAAGTTTGTGGAATAGGCTTATTTTTATTTTCAAGTGAACATAAACTAGCGAAATTAATTGTATGCAAGCAGTTGCATTTGAATCATGTAAGCAAAATTAGAGTATACATTTAGAAATTAGTTATTAATCCATCTTTTCAATTACGTCCCATCCATACCCAACAATGTTTTATAATTATCTAAGTAGGTACAGTATTATTTTTATGATTCTATTTGGTGTTTTATGTCTCTCTAAAGTTAACTACATTAAAACTTTGAAAAATAAAGGACGTTGTAATATTATTTGTAATTCATATCACATTAGTTTTTTTTGCTAAATCTATTTTCTAATTATTACAATATTTTTATAGCAATGGAAGTCAATTATTTGTATGCAATGACGATGCATTTTTTAAAGTATATACCGGGGGCTATTTTCATCCATGTCTTAGGCACTGAGGTACAGCTATTGTATTACAAGGTCTATTTCCGTTGCACATTTGTAATATATCTATTTGAATTCACAATATAAACGATAAACATTTGAGAGTTGCTTTGTAAATTATTACCAATTAAATGGGTTCTTTACACGGACGTTTCAGTCGTGAATACCTGATCATTGTCATTGTACCTTTAGCTTAAATGCTATTTGCGAAAAACCATTATCATAAAAGAAGAAAAAAACACGGGTTTAGGAGATTTTGTTCTTTCGTACAATATGTATTACTGTTGTCTATTGGTTTAATGACTGATTAATTAGTGAAAGGCCCCTGCAACAAAACTCAATATAGGTTTTGTCAAGCATATGTATGACTGCTTTGGCACAATTAGTACCTATTTATTTAAAGCAATAAAGTAATTTCAGCAAGTGAATCATAAGAACTTGACGAGTACAAACCGTGATGTCTCCTAATGATTATGCTTTTGGCAATTTGTGATATGATTACGCTCTAAAATTATACTCGTATGCTAAAATTATTAAGCTCTGGCCACGCACTAATCTTTGCTAACAATTTGGACATTATAAATAACATGTTTGACGACGACTGATGGAATACGTAGTACATGGAAAATTTTTAAGTAGGGACGTGTTACTTATTAAACTTAACTGTAATAGGTAACAGTCAAGGCAGTAATAATACTGCTACTAATTATACGTTTGAAACATTACGTGGCCACATGTTCGATTCACAACTCTTCATTATAAAGCTTTATCAAGCTCTTTACATTAGTTAATCATAATCATATTGTTAGTAATGGATAACTAGCCTAGTTCATCATGGAAATTGAAAATTGAAAATTACTTATTTATTAGTATCTAAACATTATAATAAAATAAGAAGGCAATAAATAAGATTTAAAAGTAGACATTATAGTAAATAGTAAGTAACAACGATTTTATTACAACTATAAAACGAAAGCAACATTGCTCATGTAGACTTGAAGAGTAAAGGCTAAGAGGTGAAACAAGCGGAGTGTTATATAGACCGCGGTAGAGTCGACATCGTGAGCAGGCGAGCACGGGCACAGGCAGGCACGCTGCGGAACGGGCGCGGACACTGGACCCTTCCCAAGCGGACTAAACTACAGCGTGCCGCTTGCACTGTTATTAATTGACACAATGATATCGCAAATAACAACAAAGAATATCTTAAAAAATTGGACATGAATATAAGCGACTTAAATTAGTTATTTATAAACGCGTGCAAAACATCGAAAGACCTCGGAATCAGTTCCACATCACCGCATTTGTCGAGGTTGAACGTGGACCGTCAACAGTACTATAGGAAACATCGAACACCTACATTACAAAATTTTATAGCGCAATCGTTTTTAGGCACGATCGACTGTAAATCTAATAACAATACGTACTTAAATACTAAATAACGACTTCGTCGTCTCTGCACGTGAGTAACAATTAAACCTACTTATTTTGATATGTTCATTATTGCCGTAACCGTTCAGCAGTTAATATTAGTACCGTAGTGAGGTTGCAGATATGATAGATGTACATGCTTGGCGATATGAGAGCAGACGAGCAGCCAGTACGAGCCATACAGAGCATGCGAGGGAGCCGCGAACCGAGGGTGCCGGCCGACCTCTGCCGCCGGCGGTCTATATAACACTGAGCGTTTCTGGGCGACGGAGGGGTGCTGCCTCGGCAGCCACCAGAGTCAAGTTCCTTTATCTTAATATTAAACATCCTCCCGTCGGAAAGATGAAGTACGACATTCATTACGATAATACACACATGCAACACACATCTATTTGTTCCGATTCACAATCATGCAATGTTCGACTGCCGCCACACGGGCAACTCGATGAATGTAAATATCCAAATTGTATTCTAGCGTATAGTATTTACACGAACTCGTTGAAAGAGAAACAACTAATAATGCGTACATCAAATGCAAAGTAGGTAACACTGTGTCGTTCTGAAGGAATATGTGGTAAAAGTAGCATGTTCCAAAAGTAAACGAAAGGAAGGAAGCGATAAGTGCATAACGGAAAACAATGTGCAGCAGGACCACGGATAGTGCAGTAGGGTGCAAAGTACAAAGAGCTTAGAAAATGAACATATATTAGGGTTAGTTAAGAAGGTTATAGATAACATATAGTACGTATAGGGTAATAAATATAGGGTACATATAGGTAATAATATATTACAGGTCTTATGAAAGGGAAACTTAATAAAAAATAGGCTTATCTGTGTTATTGTTTACGTATTTTATGTAACAATGTGTAAATATTATGAAAGTGTAACAAGTAACCTTATTTATTGTACGATTTCACTCTTCTCATAAAATGTAGATCACAAATTAGTTTTCACATATTGGAAGCAAATTACGTAGATAATATATATCTACGCTTGTAAGAACTGGTTGAACTACTTATTTAAATGATATCATTTACGCTACAGTAGAGAAAGTACTATAAGACTCTGCAAGAAGATTTGTGGTGTCAACAATAAAGACGTAATATCAAGTTTTGATCACAATGATTTACTTATTAGATCCACAGCCAAGGGCGCTGCGAACGCACGCCAGCTACCTAACTATTAGTTAGAGCTCCTATAAAAATCTGCAGCTAAGGACTTATCTCGACGCACTGTGTGTCGCAAGTGCTCAACCAAAACTTGCTCGTATATCGTACTGTCCGTCTTAAACTAATTATATCCACCGGAACCAGCGAAGCAGTCGCAATATACTTTTGTAAATGTGAGCCACTAGGCAGATTCTCGGCAGTTGTTGTTGGGAATCCAAAATCACATGCATACTTAATGCCTACGGCAGTTAGATATCATGATTACATAAAAACTTCAAATTTATAGTAGTTTATACGTAATGATGATATTTTTGCAACAAACTTAGTATGAGTAGACACAGATCCATGTGATTCACAAGACAACCATTGCACTAGTGATGCACGACTTTATGAACGCTGTTGGTCATTTTGGTTGACAAACTAATTGGTAAACTAATTTTTTTTTTAAATTTTTTAATTACCTATTTGTACGGCTAGCAAAACAGGGTGCGACTTGCGCGAGAGTGATATAAAGCTCGAGACACTGCTATTCTCGCATAGAGGTGTCGCTCTCGCGCAAGTCGCGCGCTGCCGCCGTGCTAGCCCTACCGGTATGGGTGCGACAAATATAAACCATTATTCAATAAAATCATGACTCACAGATATATCTCCTTATATCTATAGGATATATACCTCGTCAACGTTATGAAACCGTGCATCTCTAAGGATGGTTGTCTCCCAACTCAGGCGACGAGTCGTTTCAAAAGGACGTTTAATCCTTTAAAACAAGAGGAAGCTGACCCTGGTCCGGCGCGCGTCGCCCTTGCCGCGCCGGCCCATGCCGTACTGTCACATGGCTGTATCTGATGAACTTCCCCCTGGTTTCGCGTCGCCTCCACCTCCACCTGCAGTATCCTCGTCCCGCGCTGTTCCACGTCCCACCGACCCCGTACCGCCAGCCGAAAGCCCCGTGAAGTCCAATTTGTACTGCATCATAATAATAAACAGTTACTGTCAGTTCGGAGAGTTAAAAGTTCCCTATTTATGCTTGAAACTCACCCGTGGCATTTTCATAACGTCTGTCGCTTATGGGTCTTCTTATTTTATAATTATATTTATGGAAACAGATTTAAGTGGAGAAATACTTAGTGATTCTGTGTTGAGAAATGTTTACTCCCATGCATACAATTGATGCAACGATAATACGATTTGGTTTAGATAGTTTAGATAGTTTTCTGTGTCGATGCATTTGAGAAGACCCTTTTAATTTTTTATTTTAATAATGAATCATGCCATTGGTCAGTTGAGCTAGAGAACAGTCATCGAAGACTACGCGAACTCTACGTTGGTACCCATCGAAATGACAATCAACACCATGCACGCGAATAATTTATCTTTATGCGAAGCAATGTTACTGTTTTTGAATTCAAAACCCATTCCCGTTTTTAATACAATGGACGTTAATTGTTTACATATTTAGCCGATGTTTAACAAGGACAGGGGTTGTTAGTACATAAATCTAGCATATTCACAAGTTACTTGAATTTTTTAAATGAAACTGTTAATCAAACAGATGCTAACTAAGATAATATAACTGCAACAATACATCAACAACATTCAAAAGTTAGCTATGAACAACACCATCAATCAATTCTACACTATAGACCACGATATCAGAGTTATTTCCTGATCTGTACAACTCAAGTCGTTAGAAAAACCACAAATCCGAAACCTTAGAGGTACCTACTTCAACAATTCAATAAACTATTTTCACTCTTAAAAGTGAATGCTTGTCTTAAATTTGGCTTCCAATGCATAGGGACTCTCTCAGGCATACACAGGGAATACTGAAAACAGGAAATAAATAGAAACGTAAAAGGGACTGAAAAACAAAATGGAATCATAAATTAAGTAATAAAACTGTCATCAGTTGAGGCTGTCGACTTAGGGACAAAAACAGGAAGAAAGTTATTTAATTTTCTAAGTATTTGTGTAAACGAGTTTAGCAAGTGTCCACTGATTTACGTTCAATCCTAGCGGCTAAATTGTCTTCACAGTTTAGCAACTTTAATGAAGGTGATTGCGATGTATTCTAAATTTTTACTTTCAAAACGTATGGGCATGAAGACACATAACATGCTTAGGTCCACTACATACACAGAGACACACAGGTGTACATGATCAAGTGTGTTTTATGAAAATGCAAGATAGAGACAGACCGAGTCGTCCCTTGTATACGCTGAGGATTTGTTTATCGCTTTGTCCAGCGGTATAAGACCCTGGGGTGGAGGGAAAAATAAATGTAAAACGTTATTTAACTCAAAATAAATAAATCAGATCCGAACCTCAACAATAATTTGTTTCTAAAATCTATTTCACACTAGTTCTAAACAACTATGAAGGTTTGTTTTTGGTATAGAGATTGTAAGGGAAAATATATTCCATTATACTTTTTTAAACCAAAAGTTAGGAAAGATATCCAACAATGGTCTTACATACAAAAAAGAAAATTGAGCACCAAGAACAAACCTTGGAGGTGATACCACATTGTTTCACTTTCTCCCCACAGTCTAACAGTCATTAATTAAATATAATCTTTAAAGTACTTAACAGGTGCAACACTCTGGTGCCTTTTAACCACTCCCACACTCGTCTCCCACGGCAAAGGTACCTAAGGAACATTATGTTCCAATGCACTAAGATCTTTACAATATCCTAAAAATTGACTAAACTTTTAAATGTGCAGCGTGTTGCTCGTTAATTAGTAAAGGTAATATAATACGCCAAATTTGACAAAGACGCGGTTAGTACCTTGTTTGCGCATTCGAAACACGTAGTGACCACTTTGCTGATGACGTTCATAAGACGTTTGGTCTCTTGTATCACGTTGTCTACTTTGCAAAACGTGGCCGATCGACCAACCGTCGGTTCTTTAACGGTGAACTGTAGTTGTTGGACGTACGTAGGAACATTATCTAGGTGCGCTAAAAGTAGCTTTTTTGTTGTTCCTGCTGGAACCTTGAAAATAAATATAATTTACAATTATACCATTAATATGTCCATTAACAATTTATAAAACTGATCTCAATATAATTCTTGACTACGTACCTGATAAGAAAATTGTCGTATAATTTTATATAACCTATTCGCCTCCTCGGCGAAATATTCTGCTTGCGTGAAGAGGTCTTGCGTTGTATTTAATCGGCCCTCACCTTTTGTAAATTGATACATAGCGAAGGCCATGGAAGACATATTTTTTGCCCTGGAAACGACAATATCAGCTCACTCTTAAATTAAAACTTAAATAAACACATTTAAAAAAAACTTAAATGAAAGCTTTTAATTACCTCTTCACAATATCGTTGTTTTCGTCAGCCGCTCCCTGCCATTTTTCAGTCTCGGCATCCATCTCAGAAGACATCATTTTCATTTCTAAACCTGACTTTGCTATTTTGGCTTGCTCGTCGCAATCTAAACGCACGGCTTTTAATGGTTTGGTCGTCGTCCCGTGTTTCTAAATAAAAGAAAATGGTTTTATGAATATTGGAAAAGTTTGTGGGAAGTATGGTTGTTTAATATAGGCCACAGCAGTCTTACACCAGGTCTAGGTAAACTGCTATACTGTTGTTTGTCAGGGCGGTCGTCGGTAATATCGAGCAGGTCTTTCGCCAGCTTGGCGGCGTCGGCGAGCAGCCACGCCCACATGTCGACGAACACGTCGAGGTTCTCCCTCGCCGCGGCGCTGCCCGGGTGCGCGGCCAGCGTGCGCGCCGCCGTCACTACTTGCGGACCGTATATCCTAAGGTTGATCTCCGCAAACTTCGCGCTCACTTGCAGTGTTTCAGACATTGCTATATGTCTAAGTATTTTGCATACCTATTTCACAAAAGCATATCGTAATTATGCGACAAATTCAATACAAATAGTACTTATTTATTCATGTAATATTTATTATTATGCAGAATTACGAAACTTACCTCTATTATATGATCTAATTGTTCGTGAAGCCGGCTGGCTAAATTGTGCAGTCTCTCTGATTCTCTCTCACCAACCGAATTAGCTGCAAAATAAAGGTTCAAGTCGCTTCCACTAGTTGGTGTATAAAACGTTTGCGTTTCTCTTAGAATTACCTACCTATCAAGAAGTGAACGCTCACGCTTTAAAACAAATAAAACAAAAATAATGGAAAGTTATTTCAACCTCTAAAGAAGAAGTAAATTATAAGTACCGTCAATTCCACACGCGTCATCACGTTAGGCGCCGCGAACTTGTGTTTTTTCTAATAGTAGATACCTATCTATCTATCACGTTACTAATGGTAGATAAAGATTAGCGTGTAAAATCGTATTAAGCCTGAACGTCCGCTTCTTAAGATCGGGGCTGTACCTAAATTCCTTCGTAGGTTACCTATGTGAGCGAGGTCGGTGGCGAGCAGACGCGCCTCGTTGGCGAGTGGCGGCAAGTCGCGGGCCTGGTCGCGCGCCGCTGCGATCAGCGCGCGCTCCAGCTCACTTGCAGCGCTCGTCGCGCCGACACACGCGCTATCCATCGCTGCGCCCGTTCCACTTCCACCCTGCTCCTCCTAAGACCAATGTCCATACATAAATGACATTCAAGAATGTACAATCACTTTATGATTAATTTCAAAGGGCACAGCTATAGAAAATGAACCAATAACTAAACTATAACTGGTAGATACGTAAAAATGTAAGAAAGTTTATAAATAAAAATTTCCTCGAGGGCCGTACTCTGGGGCATCGTGCCCAGAAGACTGGCATCATTTCCCCTTTAATAGCTAAACTTATTATTTGGCGAAAATAACTGCCAGCTGCGTGGTTATCGGAGGCTTCTCCGAGGCGATCCGATAGCTCGTTCGGTAGAAATTTCGGCTGTGGCCCCAGGGACACAGGTTTTCAAACGCAAAAGGTACAAAGCTGAAGCACAACCTCTTAAAAACGATTATATATGTATGTATTGTACATCTCTTCAGTTTCTTTTACCTCGGACACGGCCACAGCGACAAGTCGCTCGAGCTCGTACGCTATTCGCTCTGCGAGTGTTAGTATCCGCTGGCGGTGTTCATGTGAGGTGTAGGCCGAGTCGGTGAAATCGTGTGTCCGCTCGACGAGTGCGCGCAGTGTGGCGGCCATGGCGCGCCGCCGCGCTGCGTCGGCGCCACATCGCGCACGGGCTGCACGCACTTGCCCCGTCAGCCCTCGTAATGCACCCAGCGCCGTGCCCGCTTCCCATTGCGCCGCCTGCACCATTCTCGTTATATTTAACACATATCTTTGACAAAATTCATGTATGCACCTATGTTTTCGTGGCGCTACATCTCTATATTACAAAAGTGATTTTTGGAAAACTATCTTATTTACGTAGTAACTTTGTAAGCTATAGTGGAAACTACTTGGAAGTTTTGTTTCAATTGCTCTTTATGCTTTACAGGAAACTCATTCATTATATATTTTCAGAATGATGATTTTTGAGGTAATGTTGAGTGACCATTACATTGAATTCTTTTAATTTTTAATAAAAAATACTTTGAAGACGATATTGTATAAGACGGTCATCGTAGGTTGTCGATCATTTTAAGAAAGATACAATATGTGAGCGTGTTTGAACTAATTATCAAAGTGCTAATTGCCAATAAGCATAGATTCAAAGTTTCAAAATATGTTAAACTTGCTATACTACTGATTTATATAGCTCTTTTTTACATCAAAGATAGTTGTATCTACAAGGAAAATGTTTAAGTAATACGACTTAGCATTAAGCTTGTCTAGGCAATGTCATTTTCCTATTTCAAAGCGATGTTGAGCGTGTTTTAGCAGATTTCGTGGCGAATTAGGAAAACTTAGTACCTAGTATTAATTGCGCTGCTCTTTTAACATCTAATTTGATGAAACTATTACTAGAAATTGTGCGTGGGAAAAGTAATTAGATTTCTTCTCATGCTGAGTAAAGAAAAGAAAAATTGGATAGCTTAGTAACCAAATAATCAGGGTTTAAATATACATAAATATGTAGATACTTGAAATTCTACGTTACTGATTGCAATCATAGACTGTTGAAGCAGCATTTTGATATCAAATGTTATTAAAATTGAGTGAAATAGGAAATTATATATAAAATTAGAAGATGAAATTAAAAAAGTGGAATAATACACTCGTCTACCTACATCAAATTGTACCTGTTCGTGACTATCCGAGAAAGGTTGCATCTACAAGGAAAGAAACAAAAATCGTGTTTATGATCTGAAAGACTGAGATGGAAAACGTAGTTGAAAGTTAAGAAACATGGAACTTTACGTATTCATCAAACTAGATGACCTTAAGCTTACATATATCAACTCACCTGTACATATTCCAGATTGCTTAAAATATATCTCTACCTTACCGTTGAAAAAAAAGTTTAGTTTTCACAATACATTTGATGGCATTTGGAACAGTTGAAATAAAAATTTATGGTATAATTATACTCTTGAATACAACCAACTTTATAAGTTACAACAATGGGAAAGATCGTAAATGAAATCATCAATTCGTACCTACAAAATGGGAATTCACTTTGAACAAAACTTCTTTGTGTTCTTGAGTTAAACCCTCCCTAACATTTACTTCGCCCTTTGGAAATATTACAGATTTATTATCTAAAGAAATTTATAATGTAACTTACACTAAAATAAAAATTAAAGTTTATGTTTCCTCTTTGGTTACCGGGTTACCCAGATATAAATTATCGTTTATATAAGACGAAGTTTCGTACAACCGTTAACTAATACAAATAAATATAAATATTAGACAGCTATATATACGTTGTTCCGATTCCAAAGTAAGTAACTAAAGCATTTTTTTTTCTCACACTCATAGCCCTGCAGGAAATCTTGTATCGCGGGTGCCATGGACACGCAGATAGACAATCACAAATTACAACTAAACTCACGACAGAAATGAATGTAAGCTATACAAATATTTCTTCCAGCTCGGGAATTTAACCCGGGACCTCTGCGTGTCATACCAGCATGATAACTGTTCAACCACGGAGGCAATTGTGTTATGGAAATTGGAAACAACAACGGTACTACAAAAACCCGAGACAATATAGATAGTTTTCTACATTGACCCGGCCGGGATTTGAACCCGGGACGACAAAGACACCATGAAAACCGGTGTACCACTGAGGTCGTCATACTAACAAACAGTATTAGCCTGGTAGCTTGCAAGTGATTATTTATATTAGAAATTCAAAAAATAAAAAGCCACCCTTAAAGAGTAACTACAATTATTACTAGAGTTTAATTTCTTCTCTTTTCAAATTTTTGTCGCTGCTCGGTTATTAGGTGATCATATTGAGTGTCCTTAATGGTTAAATTGACATTAATAATAGCGACAGGAATGACTGTAATAGGAGATTCCGCTTTTCTATAACCATTAAAGAATTGACAACCATAGTTTTATATATTAATGATAGTATAAACTTAATGTTAGTTCTATATGACCTCTTTAAAAATGTTGCCAGACCTCATTTTAAAAGGGAAAATGTTTATTTTCTGAACAATTACTTGCCGATACGTTAGTAGCCAGTCGATATCTGGTCGCGGCGAGCGGCCCATCGCGATAACGCAGTGATCCGTATCGCGGTCTTGATTCGAATCGAGACCGTCCCTGTGGACTCTATTTACATCGATTCTATATAATTTTTACCTAGTAAAACCTGGGGGTCGATTCAGAACTTTACGATAACTCAGTTGACGACCAATTTCTTTTCATTTTTATTCACAACACCCGAACCGAACGTCAAACTGTTGTACACGAAACCGAATCGAAACGATGACACACTAGTACGATTACTCGAACTTCTCTTCCAGCAAAGACTACACGATATTCAGAACACAGTTATCGAATGAAAGTTACCGAACGTCCTATTGTTTACAAAGCAAGAATGTAATATGGAAATCTCTTATTATTTTAAATAAAGTCTGGATTTTGTTCAATTTTATTAATGTATTTTAATGCAAGACTAATGCATTCCTATATAGGCCTTAAAGGTGTTAAAAATGTATATAAAAGGATTTAATTTTTCTTATAATCTATTTTAACTAATTCCGTAAACGCTGTTGGATAACGACATCGTATCCGAATCCGAATCGAACGTTTCACTCGGAATGTTCTGAATAGCTCGGAGAGCGCCCTTCGATTTGAGAATCGAAGGGCGCGATATCGAACGATTCGGTTAAAATATTGAAGAGTTCTGAATTGGTGTCCAGATTGTAAACTTCCCAAATTTCATAAACATATTGAGCCCATAAGAAATAGAGTTATTTTAGTTTTCTTTTTTAGATGTTCTCTTCTAAATATATATTATTATATATATTAATATGTAAATATACAAAAATTTGATTTTTTTAAGAATAAATTTATTTTCATACTTATTTAACCTTTTCTTATTATTTTTACTATTAAATCAACACAAAGTTTTTAAAAACAGTTTACGTGAGCAATTAGTATTATTTATTATATTTTCAGGGAAAATGACCGCGGTAATCTGCTATAATAACCTTTAATCCTTAGGTTGTTATATTTAATCACACGAAACACCTTGATTTTATTATTTGAACCAATTTATGCCGTTTGCTTCGAAGGTCGTTGGCCACTACGGTGTTACAACGTAGTGCGTGTAGCAATTTCGTAGCCTTATTTATATTGAAAAGTCGCACGTATGAAAGGACTGATATGAATATAGAAAGCTCAAGACGTATGTTAAAAATAGCATATAGACAAGCGTAATCTCTGCCAACCCTGTCATGAGACAGGCGTGCCGATAAGTATACGTATACTTATTGCTTTCTGTTTCTTTTTATATAAATTTTAATTGTAAATAATTTAACTACGTTAAAATTACCAAAATACGCAATATAGACCCTGGTCTTCTAAGAATTTTAACCTTACATTATTACACTTGCCTTAAGCGCTATGCAGCGAGTACTTCCGGTTTGTGTGTCGCGAAGCCTCTCCAGTGTCGCATAGCTCTATATACAGTATCTACGTACAGTGTCATAGTTACGTACACAACCTGGGTGCGAAGTTATATTTAGAAAAACTATATATAATAATAATCATAAGTATAATATACACATATATTACAATAGAACTGGTATCGTCATTGGCGTCAAAAAAGTACAAAGACCGTGACGAGTAACCATATTAATCCGTAACGGTGAGAGACAAACGGTGTTTCTAAGAGCGCGTTACTATTATGTCGTGACAACAGATAGTCGCGCAATTTAAAGTGTCGTGGCTTGTACGTGTAAATGAAGTTATTCACATATAGCACAACACGATTAACTGTCGTTCACGACTTTTTTGACGTTACGACGACAGACCGTCGTGACAAATGAAAGAGCTAGGACGACAGTCGTCCAATGATAAATAAAAGGTCACGATAAAAATGTGATGAAAGATAATCGCACCTTCAAACGATTCTGTTGTGCAAACGACAAGGCGGTTGCCATGAGCCGATAAATTGTCGTTACGTTGTAGTGGGAACAGCTAGACACGACAGTCGTTCAAGGATAAAATAAACGTCCACGACACCGTCAGGTGGTCGTGATATGGGAACAGAATAGACGTGACAATCATCTAATGATAAATAAAACGTTACGACACAATGGGAACGCGCCCTAACGTGCAGCTGTGTTTTCATCCACCATTTAAACATTAAATAAATTTATACAAGAAATATAAAAACATATAATTTTTTTTAATGTTCTTTTCAATGAAAAAAAAAAACATTAATCGTTAGGGACACCGTGTGTCTCTAGAACGTGTGACGGGTGAAAAAAATCCACGGATAATAAATACTATCTTTCTGTGGTGATTTCAAGAAGAGTTACTTCGTGAACAAAAAATGAGTATCAAATGCGTTCTACAAATGTCAAGTCATTCAAAACCGAACACCGCCTTGCCCCGCGAATGGATACAAAAGCGTTGATATGGTATCACACTAGTGAATGTACTCGTTAGCAATGATATGCAGTTTTGCAATTTGTTGTCCAATGTTTACTAGACAAAACAAACCTAGAGTAAAATGATATCCGAATCCAATTTCGCTGGGTAATTGTGCGAAACGCTAAATAACTGAATTAGTAAGTTGTCGCTTGAAACAGGGGGAAATCCCACTATGGTAAACACAGCTATAGAAGCCACGGAATTGTCTGTTCTAGATCAATAAATTAATCTACTTTGTCAACTTGGAA